ACGATTTGCTTAGCCCATTGTAGACCCTATTGAACATATGCAAGTACAGTGATCGTAATAGGTTCACACATTTGCAACATTCCTTAGCGAAGCGGGGAACCCATTAGGGATTCATGGTCAATTAAATCAAAGGCTCTTTTCACCCCATGGTATACCACGATTATTGGTCGACAATGTGTGTGGTGCAACCCGAGGACTTGACGCAGAGCGGAGGTTTGGTCGACGCAGCCGCAACCTGGTTGGTTGGCTGTTTGCGAATATTCATCTACAGCTACAATATTGGGTTGGTCAAGCCCGTAATCTTACCAAAACTGCGGAAGTAGTAGAGAAAGTAAACACAATTTTTTATCTAGGCACCTATATCTCAACTGGCGGGTGCGTTAGTGTCGGTGCGCAAACAAAAGGATCTGCTGGTATTCGACCACTTGAAATGTGCTGCAGTCCAGAAAGCCGGGTGTTTGTGAAGGGTCGAGCGTATACTGTAGCAGTACAACCAGCTCCGCTCTACGGTGCAGATTTGGCCAATACCGAAACAGAATAAAAATGCATTGTCGGTGTTCGAACACCGCTGTCTACGTCGCATTGCACGAGTCTGGTGGGGTAACCGGATGAGAAATGCCGAGGTTAGGCGTAGAATTCAAGGTAATGGCGGTCGTTCACTGGAGCAAATAGTCGACCTCCACCGATTACGCTGTGTGGGGCGTATGCTATGCATGTCACCAAATAGGTTGCCACGGCGAGCGATGTTTGCCGAGGCAGGTAGCAGTTGGAAAAAGGTCAAGAGGGTTCAAACTAAAAACTGGCATCATAGTATGAAACCCCTAACCAGGAGACTCGGTCACATAGGTCCCGTTAGGCTCCCTGGTTGGGAACCCCGAGATTACGGTCATCAGTAGTTACAGACACTGAGCGACACAGCTAGACGTCAATCAGTGGCGCTCATGCATCTACTCAGTCTATATGAATCTTCTATTCTCCGCCAAAAGACAGCAACCAAAACCGGCGCAAGAAAGTGCATGGCTAATGGTTGTAAAAACTGACTATTCACCTCCTTATGGGTGTCAAGCGGCGAAGTATTACACAAGTTACCACTTTTGTGATGATCCGAACTAAGCTCAGGCAGCGGTGGTTTGCGCAGTCGTTACGTGATCCCTTTTTGAAGATCGGAACTATCAACGATTCAACCCAGGATAAAGGGACACGCTCCGCCTACCAGATACCGCGAAATGAGCTAGTAATCGAGTAGAAAAGAGAATCACTGCCCAACTTGAAAAGAATACGGAGAAGCCCATCAGGTCCCGCAGCCCCCCCCCCCCCCCCCCCCAACCTTCATTTATTGATTGAATACAGCTTTCTACTTTGGATTCTCACGGGAGCTCACACGTTACCACACATGGAGTTTCCGATGCAATTGCCGCAATAACCGCATTACCATCAACTGAACTGTACACTAAAACACTGCCCAGCGATCAAATCGCTGTTCTTTATTGTGGATACTCTTTTATCACTTTTATCACAAATTGTCTCACTGACCGGAATGCGACAACCTCCGGGGCTGCGTACCAGGTGAAACAGTCTTTGACTATTCCCTCATGCAGAAGCTACCTCTATTTCACTGACAATTTTGGTCAACCAGCTTCCGTGATCTTACTTGAGGCTTTCCCTGAGATGACGTTGCAGGCGCAAGCGGTCCCTATACTAATCCGGGCAGATTGGGATCTTCCGCTTTTGATTCATCAGGATTACTGAATCCTGACAGATACAATGTCTTCGGTGAACTTCGGGCTCGGTGCCACAAGCTAAGGTTGCTGCTGGGTGCATCGCAAATTTAATCTAATCCCACTGTTGGTATACTCCACTAAGTCGCGGTTCTCCCAGCTCCATTTCATAGCGCGCGCAGACGATGATCAGCTAACTAAGGAGGCGACTTCTACTGATGACCGATGAGTTGAAGAGTGAAGTGTAACAAGGCTGGTGCATGGTTCGACTCAATGCAGGTGGTCCAATAAGACCTGCAATTTCGAACTGAACCACGCCAACGGTAGCTTACAGCTATGTGGTCGATTTGGGGCAGTTTTCACGTGAAACTAGAACACCATGTAGCCGTTCGACGAGAGCTGCGTCGAAAGTTGATGCTAGGTAAGAACAACCGATGATCCGCGCAGAACTGAAGTAGTCGATCACCGTTTTCTGTTCACTGGGCAGGAAGACCGAAATGCCCTCCTAGACAGGCTTTGGATGCGCTCAGTTCTCCAACCTGCGCCTTCAAATCACTTGCCAGCACTAGAATATCAAAACTGCGGCTCAACCGAATGAGTTCGGCGAGTTTGTCGTGAAATTCGTCCTTTTGTGAAGCGGGACTGCAGTTGGTGGGTGCATACGCGGAAATGATGAACAAACACCTTCTCGTGTTGCTACCCTTTCGAACGCTAACTGAACCCTAGAGCTTTACTGTGCAAAAACGACTATTGACGGGTATCCGATCTATCAGTGAGGCCTCAACTTCGCCGCTTAGTACGATCCATACTAGAATCTTGAATTCGTGCCTGCGCTACACAAGACATCAATTTCTAAAGGATTTATTGTACGCGCAAGACCTGCTGGTTGACCTACTTGCCCTCAGATTGATAGGTTGACGGGGCTTCAGAATATACAAATTTAGTGGTAAACTATTCACAGTGCTATCTGACATCGAATTTTGGCGAGTGAAGACCAAGTTATCTGAGGGAATGTCATGGGTCGGATGAAAGAGTAAAGGATAAGAGTTGGGTACGGAAGACAAAGAACTAAACAAAGGTTGGGATACCTGAGCAGTAGTCCACTTATCACTACCCACCCCGCTCGAGGCAATGGGCAGTCTGGTCCTGATCATCCTGTGCGACGACCGATGCAGTATGAAATTATTTTTAGTTCGTGTTCATTGGAGCTTCACAGACGGGTACTGACAGGGAGTCCAACCACTAAGAAGTAGAACGATTATTGTTCTAAACCAAAGCCTTTGATTCTGACAAGAACCTAATCACAAGAGAGCGGGTAAGGCGGAGTGGAGCCCATTTACTTGGATCAATCACTCCCCCACCATTTTCCACCGATTGAAAAGCAAATTCTAGTCAAACACCCAACCTGGAGGCTGGACATTGTCTGACCTCTACCCATTGACCTTCCACGTATGATTAGATCTTCAGCTCGATAAAACCATCCTGTGTAGCTCGATGGATCACAGAGGTGTACAAACCACCACAACGTCAAATTGCAGTCTCATAGTGGTGAGCATATAAAAGATCTGCATAACCGACTATTGACCAGTAAGGCGTAGTTAAGGTGCACAATCTCCATGGTATATGCCTGTGGCGGAGATAGGATTTGGGACGCCTAGACACATTTATGTTCAGCCGTAAAATCGAACCCGAGCACTATAGGCACCACAGAACTACGTTGTCGGTCGCAGCAGATAGATAATCATAAAAATAAGCGTTCATTCAAGCGAACTGCGTGTAGTAGGCGCATACGCGGACAGAACGTTCGGGTTGCGGATGCTTCGTTGGTACTGCTGATCCGCGCTGAATCGTCGAGAAGCACAACCGACTACAAACTGAGATCCAGTCCAGAAGACACTTGAGGTATTATCGCAAGCGTTAGAATCCAACGCACAGTGTGGTGATTTGGTTTTGCAGAACGCAGCGGGATCATGGGGATAGAATCGCCTGCGCATGCTTCGGAGGCATGTGCATATATATTGAATATTGGAAGGCTTTTTCGTCGATTTGAAAGTGGTATTATTGAACGCAGCTGGGCGAAGAGATCTCGGTTCGATCAGTTTAATAGCTTTTTGTTCATCTGCATCGCCAAAGTTTGAGGGCAGAAACAGGAATCGCATCGATTATCGCGAGTAAAGGAGAATCCCATCACGTGAAACATGGTTTCCAAAACTGGTAACTGATAAAAAAACTTTGCGGTAGCCCACAACAATGGAGGGTCTTTTTTTCTTGGGAACGTCAAATGGAATATTCTACTCAAAAGTCTGACCCGGAAAGCAATGAATAGATCTACCGAAGGTTTCGCAAGGGTGCGTCAATTATTGTTCCACTGTTAGAAAACGGCTTAAAACGTTAGGTAAACAATGAAGTCGGACCGTGAACGGAACAGCACTACCAGGGGCTGTCCACCTTGAGTGGCGGTCATTTGATTGATAGACCACTCCTGCTCACGTTATTCGCTGGAGTTAGCTTTAAAGGAACCAAATTGAATCGATAAATGAAAAGGTAGCAGTTGCCCAATCATCGAGTCGTGTAGGACTAAACCTTCCCATGCCTCTGGGATTACGATCAGCAGGCAGAATTTTAGTACATATTCCTTTTTCATTTGTCAACAATCGAGAAATTCCGTGCCCTCTTGGTAATTGCAAGTTTCCAGGGTGGAGCATAGGCTACTAGCATGAGGAAAAGGCCATCAAAATGCTCGACATATTTATTACGTGGGGATGGAGGATTGGGTATGCTGTTGATTGTTTTAGAAAAGTGTTCGAAATGCATAAAAAACTACATACGCGAATAATAATAATAATAATAATTGCAATAATAATAAATGGTAGAGTAAACGTCGGCCTTATGGCGGTCACAGTTGAGTTTAGAATCAGGAGAAACAGTAGGGCATCGGCTGGATAACCGTACCCTTTTTAGGAGAGGTGGGGAAGAGGGTTGAACAGATAGTATAGAAAAATAAACTGAGGCAGCTAAGTCAAGCACTCCACTGTGAAGTTTAAACCAAAGAAGATACCGGAGAAATATTACGATAGTGACAGTTACGCTGTGCTAGTAAATGGAACCACAGAAGTTGTGAAAAACGAGCGAGTTTATTCCGACTTGCATAGTACTCAGGGGTGGGGTGGGGTGAATACTCTCGTTTTGGTTGTTCACTGAGAAGCGGAGGGAGCTGGGTGAGGCAAATGCATACCGCGGCTCGAGCCTCGTAGAAAGACACCAGGTCAAAGGATGGTGCATTTACGGATAGGGGATTCGATGAGTCTGTTTTCTTCCACATGATGGATCTTCATAAAATCCGACGTGATAGAGGAAGCAGACTAAAATAGCAAGTGGAAAACACCGGAGTAGGGATAGGGGTTTTGTGACGGTGATCGGGGAAGTAGAAATGGACGAGGTATCACATACAGGAACGAGGTGTGTCGGGTTTGGATGTTTGCTTACATGTGCCTGTGAGCGAATTAATGATTGAGTGAAGCGAACTTCAATAAATGCAGTCAGAATGATTCGCAGATAAAATGGGCAAAGCAAAATAAATTGGTGACTGACACTGTGTGGGGTAGAAGAATGGTATTAGCAACAGTAGTTTGAATAGCAATATAACTAGCAAGGATAGGAATAGTAATGATGCTGAGAGTAGTAACAGTAGCACGCATACAATTATATTACAAAAAGCACAGTGAATTAACAAGCGCCAGCGTAGGGACTACACACAGAACATACGCGTGCGCGAGAATAGGGAGGAAAGTGGATTGGGTATTCAACGGGAAACCGGAAAGACAAGTCGTCAACGAAAGACTTGCAAGAAGCTAAAATGCAGCATACCGGTTCAAGTCACTCACAAGCAACGACAATCTTCAAGAGTGATGAACAGACAGACAGAATGGCTGGTAGTGTTTAAGTCGTCTTTAAAATGGCATATCCAGGGTAGGATTCTTCTGGAGTGATCAGCATTCCGTTTGCTACGCTGTTTGAACCAATAGACTAATTAATGGAGTAACGGGGAGAGCAACCAGCACCTGGCCGCAGTCTCCATCTGAAGCAAACAGTACAATAAATCTTGGTGGACGACGGCGACAAGTAGGCGAGTGGTCACAAATCAACTGTTTGCGCCGTAAAGCACAGCGTGCAAAAAATTCACGTTGGGAGGTAGTGTGCAACTAGCGAGAGAAGCTGCTTCGTGATTTTCCTTCAACGCCTGAAAATAAGTGATGTACAGTTGAAAGAAAAGGCTCACCTTATCCATGAAAGACTCCTCCATAGAAGTAAACCCGCAATCATCGGACAGCGTGCCCAGATCAAAATCAATCGCAGAACACGTGCTGAAACTAGAAATAGAGGAAGCCTGTGCGTCTACTGCCTCGTGCTTCTCCAAATGCTGATGCAAATAGGAACGCGACGAATAAGTTCGTAAACAGTAACGACAGGTAAACGATTCCGGATTCGTATGCCGCAAAATATGTGCCTTTAGCAAACTTGAACGACCAAAACGTTGCGGACAAAAAGAACATTGATAATTTCGCCTCTTCAGATGGGTCTCAATATGGCGCTTATACTCGCTTGGATAAGCAAAACCTTTCCCACAAATATCACAAGACCACTCTGAAACATATGTCATAAAGAAAATAAACGTACTTTTAGAAACCGTCTTGTTATGCTGATTTCGATGGTTTTGTAGACTAATAGCAAAAAAGAAACCTCGTCCACAAACTGCGCAGTTATATGGCTTGGGTTCGTTATACAGTTCCACATAGGCATGATGGGAGTCCAAATGCATCTGGAAGTGCCATTTTTGGGCGAACGAGGCGCCACAAAGTTTACACGAATGAGGCATTTCCCCTGAGGAAATGAAAGAAGTGGAAACAGACCTACCTCTATGTAGTCGTTGATGTTTGGACAGTGCACATGAAGAGGAGAATTTTTTACCACAAATATCACATATCGGTCGCGGATAGGAAGAATGTTGCCTATGTAGATGTCTTTGGAGGTAGGACGGTAGAGCAAAAGTGGAACGACAATGGGGACACACGTGAGACCCCTTGCAACGGATTGCGTGCGCCTGAATTTCACCGGATGGAAAGAATTGTTGGCAAATCTTGCACATAGCGATCACTTGCTCACCGTGATCGGTGGTCATGTGATGAATGAAAGCCGTTTTAGAAAGCACAAACTTCGCGCATATCGGGCATTGCACATGTTCTGTCTCGTCCGCACCGGACGGTACAGAGCAATTCCCAGCGGACTTTGGATCAACACCATTTTCTGTAGATCCCGCCATGTGCGAATGAAAGACAGAAGGGACCGCTCACAGCCGAGACCCTAAAAAGGAAAGTAGACATAACACTGACATATTGTTTCCACAGGGGGGAACCAAAAGATCATATCTATTATACCGCCCTTTATTATGGGTTCGTCCGCATAAATCGATCAAAGCTATGTTCTTACGTGTTATTCTGCCAACATACTTTTCGTACGAACTGTTACAAATAATGAGAAATGAATGAAACACTATCCAGTATTTTTTTGGGAGGGGGGAGTTAAATTTACCACAGAAAGCATTTCTAATAAAAAATTTGATCAAAGGACGTGGCACATTTTTCTTCTGATGACTGGAAGCTGTAGTTTCGTCCGGTTTGATACGACGTCTATGCTCCTAAAGTCCTCCGGGATTCATTACTCTAAATCCCAAGGCATGGATTGTCGATCGCAAAAGTATGATACAAAAATACACAGTAGTAATCGACTGATTTAATAAAAATAGTCTTAGAAACCTCCAGACACTTTGACTGAAATTCATTGGTTTCGATAAACGCCAACAGGTAAGATAATAACGGTATTGGAACACACTTGAATAACAGTCTGCACCTTCTACTTACGACAGTGTTCAAAGTGAGGTCATCCTGCTGATCAACAACCATCTTTACCTTCAAATCTGTAGTCGACTCCCCATCACCAGGTAGTTGCTTTCTTATATCTTTGCTACTGTTGCTAATTTGGTTTCTGCTCTTCTGAACTCGCGTCAGCGATTCTTCTACCCTTAGTCTTTAATCGTTAATCACGTTCTCAGGCGGGCATTGATCCTCATCAAGTTTCCATCCCCAGATGTCAGACTTATATTTCCTAGTCCATTGTTCCCTTTAGGTCGGCGAAATTGTGGAACAACCTTGTCATTGCCATATTCTTAACTACTTTTTCCTCTTCAAAATCAGGGTCAACGAATGGGTGTTCGTCTGGATATTTCCAGCATATATCCTCCTTCCACAGTTCATTACCGACCATGGGTTTTGCTGTATGCATCATACATTTAAATTTTCAGGCTGTGTCGAATATGAATCACGGTACAGTGATCTCTTTGAGAAGGAAAAAGGTTCATGATTTGTGCGAGAACATGATACTGTTCGATGACCCAGGCTAGATAAGGCAAATTATGCTAGGAGGTTCACAATCGGAGTCTTCCGTTAGCCAAAGGCAGCAGGGCGGTGTAAACACCACTTGTGTGAGGGAAATAATTATCATCATTATCGTGTCCAGCAACATAATGAACAACACTAACTCGTGCTTTTGTTGACCACGCAGCTGCAGACTAGGTAGGGGTACACTTACATATCTTCAGGTGCAGTTGTGGGTCACGGAGACCGTCAACAAGCCGATGGTGGGCCGCAAATAAGCGACAGCGGATAAAAGGCGATGCCCGAGGACGAGGACTTTTTCACTTATTAGGCGTCATATCGATAAAACAATTCTGACGACAACGCGTCATCCCACAACCTCAGAATGTTCGGGGATGGATGTCTAGGTTTGCGGCTGGTAATCATTCTCTTCCATCTC